ACAACAATTTATATTTTTAATATAATATTAAAAAAAACCTTACACGCGTGGAATCCGCGACATCATATGATGACGTTCGGCCAGCTGCCCTAACTTTTAACGACATCATATGATGACGTTCGTCCGATAAAGGTTAATAAACATAAAGCTATTTATTTGAATAATTTGTAGGCAAACATTTTTATGACAACAAGAATATAATTAAATTACTACAAACTGTTAATTTACATGTGGAAAAGAATGAACTGTATGTCTATGTATGAGACATTGTGTAAATACATAAACGCCATTATATGTTTGGCAACAATTACAAAGCTGCACAAAAGCATGCAGCAATGCAACATCTCAGTTTGTTCTAAAGTGTCATATAGTTCCTGTGTGTATTTTTTGTAGGTTACTTAACAACAATTTCTGTGCAAAGATCCTGTGTGTTCTTTTCACCATTCCAAACGCATGAGCTGTGATCAGCCATTTGTTATGCTCTGAGTTTTACAGTAAAATATTGTTTGTACCATGTGTGACTTTCTTCAGTATTTGCAAGCACCTCAGATTAAGAGGCCCTAAGATGTAGCTCATTTACTTAATATGGAAATCTGGCAATGACCTGCAACAAATTTGTGCAAGGACTTTAGATATAAATTTTTATCAAAATCAATCCAGCAGTGTGTGACGTATGAGATGACATAGTAAAAAGTTTCTTTTATTTAACTGTCTCAAAATCTGAAAGATTTACAGAAAAATGGTACTGGGTAAAAAATTTTAGGTGTCGAGGGTAGAACTTACTATACAGTCTCACAAACAAACTGTTGTGCTTACAAGAAAATGAGTTTCTATGCATACAAAAGAAAAACTGATCATTTCACAATAAAATCTGTTTTCCTTATTGAATTCAATAATAAAATACTTATTTCCATAACACAGTCATCATTTCAAGTGAACCTACAATTGTCTTCCCACTCTCAACATGGCCCTTAGTTGAGACCAACAATTTGCAGTTACTGCAGTTATGGAAACGCACCATAACTACTGGCAGTGCACCAGGAGCACATTCTTTGCACTGTTGTTTCAAAATCATAATTTCTTACAAAATATTATTATAACATGACTAATCAAACACTGAAAATTGAAATATCCACCTTCTTCAGTACACCACATCCACTCATCTACCTACCTTATTTCAACACGCACCATAGTTTGGACACAAGAGACAAGTTTGCTTCCTGTGATCACATGTTGACATAGTTTGCTCACTTCTTGGAGTTCATCATCGATAAGGCCCATCGACATGTACCAATAAATATGTCTAAAACAAACGTCATTGAGAAATACAAGTACTGCTTCAGCTGGTATAACTCTGGTAGCAGGAGCACTCCTGTTGCCATTCACTGGGTTTCACACTGAATGTCTCTTGTGATGGTACTCTGTTTAAGGTACTAGTGCTAATAACATGGCTGAAGGAATGTTATGAGTAATGGAACTGATAGTATTTATGGTTGTACACACAAGAAACAAAGTGTAGTTAACTGCTACATGGAGTAGAGAGTGGACATGTTCTATGGAGGGTCCAAGCATCTTGGTTTGTTATGCAATGGGTCTCAGAACAGAGGTTTACTGTGTTTGAATTGGTGGATTCATGGTGTCAAATGGAGTAAAGGACAGTGTGCATGAAAAGGAAGTATATCAAAGAAATTGTAGAATATGAAATCAAAATACCAGGAATTAAATTGAAGATGCACAACTCTGGTACCACACTGACCATTTAAATGAAGCAATGCACGAAGTGACATATGACTTTAAACAAATCCAATAAATAGTAAGGACCTAGAAAGAAGTGCATGAAGCTTATAATGAAGTACTGCGCTCAGAAGTAGTACAAAGAAAGAACTATGTAACTTTTTATTTGGCTTATCACACCAATGAAGGTTATTTCAACACCTTGAATATAGTGAAGCCTTTCATGAGGGAAGTGATGAAGATTAATAATGAATGTGGATATTAGTTATGAATCCAAAGTGGGAAGGAGAGAGGGGAGTGGACTGGTTTTGGTGAGGTTTACAAAGGTTTTGAAAAAAATTACTTGACCTAAAATCAGAACAGATCAAGACTACTTTGGAGGGGTATGGATGGGAAGCAAAGAAAACATTTCCTACTTAACACATGTGAAAAGAAACTGTTACAATGCATTTTTAGAAAGTGACTGGTTTAACTTAAGGCTGGTAGTCATACACCCTCAACTACCTTACACTGAATATCTGAACTGGACAGAGTGCATGGATAACCCCAAAGTGTTACATCACAGTGAGACAGATGAATCAGCAGGAAGCAGGATGTTCCGCTCCATACCTCAAGCAGTTAGACACTGGCTTTCCATTGTGGCAGCCCGGGTTCGATCCCGGGTCTGGTCAAGTGGGATTTTTGATGGACAAAGTGGCGCTGGGGTAGGTTTTCTCTGAGTACTTCGGTTTCCCTTGCCAATCTTCATTCCACCAATTGCTCCACAATCACCCTCACCTATCATCTGGGGCTGGTACAATAGGCCAGAAATGGCCGCAGTACAAGGGACTTAGTCCCACCCCACTATCAATAAAAAAAAAAAGCAGGATATTCAGAAACCTGAAAAGGCCAGACCAGCTGAGTCACACTCAGAAGTGACGAATGACCCTTCTTTACAGGGAAGATAGACCATGGCTAGGTAAGCAGATGCAAAATCCCTGGGGGACACTGTTGGCAGCTTCATTCAAGTTTCTGCCAGGCAAAGAACTTAAGAATGTAGGTCAGGGTGGTGAAGGAGGCTGTTTAAGTCTATATTTCAACACCTCTGTTCAGTACTGTAATTGAGAACAGAAACACAAAGAGAACTGATATGTATTACTGTAAGTCTTCCACAGGCACAGTCACAGCCATAAAAGATAAACAGTTTATCACTTAAAGCAACTTCAGCTTTTGCAGGTTTTGTCAGTGGGAGCTGGGCTGACCCATCAAGAAGGGCTCTGCAATTAATAAATCCTTAAGAGATGTGAAAACTTTCAGTTATTTGAAAATGACAACAACAAACAAGCACTACATTCATGAAGAAACTGAAAGTGCATTCAATTTCAGGCATACTTCTTACCACTCAGTACAGGTTCTCCTTCCTTTCTGTCTCCTACATAGAAACTTAAAATAATGAAATATAATTTTGCCTATTGTTTTGTATGCATATTAGACATAGTCTCTCACCGAAGAGAACACAGAATGAAAATGAGAACAGGTTAGTGAGCAGATTATTTTGACTGAAAAGGAAGGATGGACAAAACTGCACAAGGGGTAGATTCATCTTTTTTCTTCATCCCCAAGTATTACTACTGTGATCAACACAAGCAGGATAAGGATAAGGCATGCAGTATGAATGGAAGAGATAAGAACTACATATAAAATTATGGTTGAGAAATCTGAAGGGAAAACATCTCTTATGAGGCCAGGGCTTATATGGGAGAATATCAAGATCAATCTTCGGGAAACAGCAGACAAAAAGACAGGCACAAACTGGAATTATCTGACTGAGGGTACACAGACAAGCAGGCTACTGTGTATACATTACTCAATCTTTTGGTTCCATAAAAAGGTAAAGCTATCCTTGCAACAGGCATTGGAGGACCGTACGGTTCTGAGACATCGAGGTTCATACTTTCTCTAGACAAGTGGTTCACAGATGGTGGTGAGTCTGTCAGGCTTATGTTCCACCCATCCTTTACTCCCAGGAAGATTCCTGGTACTCATTTCTGTTAGTGGTTGAGTTGACCCCAGGGCCTCAGTGCAGCTGGAAAGATTAGGTCAACTGAAAAGTCAAATGATCTCACTTGAAATCAAATCCACTACCTTCTGGCTGGTAGCGTAGCGCCTCAACCAAATACCTCCATACACTGCAAAAAATTTGACTGTCTCAGCAAGTGCTGGTTCCCAAAAAACACTGCTCTGTTAGTTACTCAAGTTAAAAATCATATATACATAGCCAACTAAAAGTACTGTTTCTTGATGTAACCTAAATAGCATGTTTTACCAGATAGGCTGGCTTAGCAGTAATGCTCTGGACTTGTATTTGGGAGGTGGTGGGTTTGAATGAACACTAGGAGAAAGATAAGGTAAAGCTGTCCCACTGCTTAACTAATTAAGCAGTACACCATGAAGGCATATGGGGGAGTGGATGTATAGTGTAATTGGTATAATGACTGGCTACGGGCTGGATGACCGAGGGGTCAGAGTTCGAGTACCAGTAGGGTAAAGAATTTTATCTTCTCCAGGCCGTCAAGACTAGCTCTACGGCCCACCCAATCTCCTATCAAATGGGTACCGGGACCTCTTTTCCCAGGGGTAAAGAAGCTGTGTGGCGTGGTGAAACTGACCACTCACCTCCAACTAGTGCCAAGATCAAGAAAATGTGGATCGATATGAAAACCGGCTACCCTGGGGTCTCCCCAGTTCATCCAAGCCGATACCACTTAATAGTACCTTGATTACATCATGGCCATTTCCTTTCAACCCCTTACTAATACCGAATTCCTCTATAACCCTAGCATTCCAAATTATACCGTCTAACCACTGACAGCGTCGTTAAATACCTCCTACACCAAACAGAACGTTTCAAGCGGTGTATAAAAAAGTGAAGTCCTATCTGTTTTTGAATAAGAAATAGACAGAAATGAGGGAGGGAGGGCGAGGCAAATTAACGTAGTAAAATCACTTCACACGATGTTTTTATATTGGAAAGACTGATGCTGTAAGAAGATATACATGATTAAGCAACTACTGATATCTCTCAAATTTCAATACTTCGCTTTAACGAAAAACAAACAATAACAATATAAAACAACACAGTGGTCCTCTGAAACTCGTTACACAATACAAAATAGGAAGTACACTCTGTAGCCTCAGTTAAGATACACGTCCGAGTCCGTCGTGATTAATGTCAATGCTGCAAAGCACTTTTTGAACAGTAAACATAACAACATTAAAATAAATAACAATACAGGCTGTGAAAAAGTACCTTCTACTGTTCAAACCATTTACAGAAAAAGAGGTACAAATATTATGTGCACCACCATCCAAAATTATGTGACCAAATTATGTATATTCCACAACAACTTTCATATTCCAATTTCCTTCTACAGCACAAAGCTCACAACGTAACCACAAAACTTCAAGCAACTATACGCCGTTCTATACGCTCTTTAACCTTGCCTTGCACTATTGCCAAATTATGAAACGGTACTATTATATCCTACATTGGCTACCCTGTTAGTAGATCATTAATTAAGTCATGTGTCATCATGGAGGAGGTAGACGGTATAATAATCCATTCTTTACGTCAAGTTGGATGGTTAGTGTATAATATTTCAATAGAATGTGGTAGTAGTACACAGATTTTATTCTTTTCTTTGGCTGGGGAAAGAAATGGAGTGAATCAAAAGTTAATTTCGAACATTAATGACAGTGGTTGTGGGAGGAGACTCAGGGCTGCCACTACAGGTATACGGAAGACGTGTCACTGTATATATTTACTATTGTGTATTTTTATTTGATTATTATAGCGATGTCGAAGACGACGTTGACAGTCTAAAGCAATTTTCTACCGAACTTGTAATTGAAGCTGCTGTTAGATGCTTGGATGTAATTCAACCAGGACTGGGGCTTCCTCATTCCCTACCAGACTCTATGTCAGCAAGGTTTCGGGTTGGAGCAAGCATTGCACAGGCGTGCAAGGTAACTTGTATTTTAAGTGATAAAGGCTAACTTACCAACTGCATGGAGCTGAACCCTTCTTGAGAAGCCGCCAGTCGCCCAGCCACTCAAGAAGTGTCCAACTTTTATGGTACCAGAAGATTCAATACTGTGTTTATAAGAGCCCCCATCTGGCCCCTATCCTGAGCCAGATCAGTCCTGTCCATACCACCACAACTTATCGCTGTATGATCCATTTCCTCCCACCATCTGTCTTCTTAGTGGTCTCTTTCCTTCAGGTCTTCCCACCAAAATGCTGTATGCATGGAGCTTCTTTCCCATGAATGCTATATTCCTTACCCCTCATTGACTTGATCATTCTATTATACTTGTCAAAGAGAACAAGTCCTGAAATGTTAGGAGGTATGAATGTTAATTGGTGATTGATATTGATTGGTTTTTTAATGGTTGGTGACATGACCTGTACTGCCTGCCATTATTTTTCAGAACTTGGGTTATTCTGGGGACATAGGTTATCAGACATTCCTGTATTCAAGTGAAATAGATATTCGAAGGGTGTTTGTGTTCCTGATTGAAAAGCTGCCTAAAGAGTCTGGGAAGAGCATAGTAGAGCCAACAGGTGAGGCTTGTATTTTATATATTACTGTTTTTGAGGATGTTGTAGACTATAATTAAGAAAACAGTGAAATCTATTTTTTTAATGCCCCAAAGTGATAAGCTCACAAATTACTGCAAAAATTATTGCATTCATAGGAAGAATTGGTGTTCTTGAAAAAGCTGTCAGTGAGACGGTGAAGAAGCAATTGGCATCTCCTTGGTTACCAAGATACTGCAGACGTAGAGGTATAAGGTGGTATGATGACGGCACATGGAGTAGGGAGGGATGTGGGCACAACCAGCCTTTCATTTCTTGTAACATAGATGTTCCTAAAACTGCAAATTCAAGAGGACTTTCCCAAGGTACCTGTTATATAATTGTTACAAGAATGTGATGTTATTTTCATTCATTTTGAGAACTGCAACAGCATTTAAAATATCTTATAGTCTTCTTTGAATTTGATTTGTTTCATTCTGGTCCGTCACACTAACAAATTACAAAGACAAAACAACTCCATCCAGTGTGACTATTGAAGTTTTTGCTACTTGAAAACTTAACACCCTTACATGTTTCGGTCCCTATAGACCATCATCAGAGGGACATCGATACTTTTTGGAAACTACTATCACAGTGTGTGTTTTGAGTGTTAAAATACATATACATACAATGTATGTAATGCACAATATATACAAAATCCAACTTTTCCACAACTACAGTAGCTTTCTTGGTATATCAAAATTTTTAAAGTTTTTAAAACTTTGTTATTTAAGTTAAAATTTATAAACCAAGTAGGTTCATGTCCCTTCTCCTATCATCTTTCTTGATGGGGGCTGAACTTGTGCCGCCTGTGTTTGTGGCCTGCTATGTTGTGTAAAACATCACAGCACGCCACGAACAAACACAGGACGATACCAAGAATCTCCTTCTCAAGTTAGACAGGCGGCACAAGTTCAGCCCCCATCAAGAAAGATGATAGGAGAAGGGACATGAACCTACTTGGTTTATAAATTTTAACTTAAATAACAAAGTTTTAAAAACTTTAAAAATTTTAATATACCAAGAAAGCTGCTGTAGTTGTGGAAAAGTTGGATTACAACATTGTATGTATATGTATTTTAACACTCAAAACACCCATTGTGATAGTAGTTTCCAAAAAGTATTGCTGTCCCTCTGATGATGGTCTATAGGGACCGAATCGTGTAAGAGTGTTAAGTTTTCAAGTAGTAAAAACTTCAATAGTCACACTGGATGGAGCTGTTTTGTCTTTGTTATAGCCTTCTGTTTGTCACTGCACAATTTCTACATATAATATAATAATCTAAGAGCAAGCAGCATAAACAAAGATTAGTTCTTTCTTCTGGGATATAATTTAGTCTGTTGAAAGTCAACTGACATTTTGGAGGAGCTTGTCTCCATCTACAACATCAAAGAATAATCCAAGTAGTAAGCCAGTACAGCTTGCTACTTGCTTCATGCTGGTTTCTTGCATGGCATATTCTTTGGTCCTGAAGGTGGCAGTGACAAGTTCCTCCAAAATGTTGATTTACTTTCACCGGACTACATGACATAACCCAGAAGACAGAACTTTTCATAACCACCACTATGAGAATCTCATATCATAAACAAAAGCACAACACTTCTGTTTGAACTCTGTGGTGGAAACTTAAACTTAAATAAACTATTAGTCAATTTTGGACTTTATAGTAGTATGTTAATGTTTTCAAATATTTTTTTCCTTGAAGAACAGTATGTATATTTAAGTGTAAATAATTATTTTAACACTTCGCGGACCGGTGATTTAAATATTTATATCACCCTGGGGACCGGCATTTTTAAACCTACTACCCTAACTTGTGCACTGTTCACTTTAAAAATTAATATAAAATTTCCTAATTAATTTTATGAATTAAAATTTTTGGAGAACACTTTCCAATGCTCCTAGAAGTGCTTGAGAGTGTGATATTTCTGGAAACATTCCCCTTTGTGAAGTGGCATTACAGAGAACTTGCAAATGTAGACAGGCTCCTTTTTTTGTGAACTGTGGAAACACAGCATTGCCTAGAAAGATGCAACCCCTTGGAATGTTCACTCTTCACAATTTTCAAGAGGGTATGTTTCCGCATATCACCCGATAGTTGCCCTGTGGGATCCACATGAAGCTTGCATGGGGTGGGATTGGATGGGCACGGTCGCACTAAGTCTGTGTCTGACCCTGGTTCTGCCACAACCATCTGGTCTGTAGCCCAGGGCTTTGCCACATTCATCAGAAATGCTTTGTATTTCAATTTTGAATCAGGGTTTAGATTTTTGTGATTTTTTAAATTTTTTACTGTCCCCACAATGTTAGTCACCACAATGTTATTACCCCCATTATCGTTGGAGCTACGGTCACTTTTACTGTCTGTGGCCACAAGTGGCCACAATTCTTTGCTCTCCCCTGTCACTGCTGCTCTCTCAAACACCATAACTACACATCTCACAAGGCAGGTCAGCTGGCTCATCGGAAAAGAATTTGTCCTTGTCCATACCCCAACACTAACTACTGGCTCATACATACAGCTTGAAGAGCAACAAAGCATTATCGCTTATAGTGGCTTAAGAAAACAGCGAGATCAACTTACTGACAAGTAAGCGAATATTCCAGAGTTTTATTACGCCATTGCGTGCAACTTGGGTGGCGCCAGAGAGATGTATAGTGTGTTGCAACTTATCATGTTTTAAAAGCCTGTTAACAGGCGAACGGTCCGCCATGTTTAAAAGCGAAAACCTTTTAAAGGGTGCGCGATCCACAAAGTGTTAAGTTGTTATTTTCATTCACAGTTTTTAAATCCATTTTTAAAAGCAATTTATTAGACAGCAGGAAAAGCTAGTATGCACAATCAGAAGATTTTTTTTTTAAATATGCTACACAGACTGCTACTTAAAATGTAAATGTCTCTGCATAATACATTCTCCCAAAATGACCCCACAGTAATATCCTTATTTTGAAGTATCATGCTGTTACTTACAGTGGAAAGGCACTGAAAGGTTAATGTATAAAAATATTGAAAATGTATATGTTAACAATTTGTTATTAGTACAGTGTGACCTAGAATAAAGTATAACACAATGTTTATGTAGTGCATTTTGCATTTCTATGCACCTGCAGAAGTATGAAGTTACACAAGCACATACTTGACCATTCTTCAGTGAAGTTTATGACATTTTTGATATTGCATCTGGAGATTTTTGGACATTCTTTGGGTTGTATATTGTATTACTGTCCTGAAGACCTGATTAATGTTTTCCTTCCCTTATTGATGTGACAGGGAACAAGAGTCTCTTAAATGTTTTCTTTGAGTATTTCTCATACATATCCATTGGGATATTTGAAACTAGGTGTATTTGCAGAGAAATTATAATCAGTTCCCCTTTAAATGATGCATGCAAGAAGTGTTTTAGGTAGAGCTGAAATGTTTGCTGGTGATTAAGTAGTGTTTCATCATTGCACTGAAGCCATTGTCCTTGCTAGTGGCAACTTGCCAAAATGACAGATTTACTGTAGGTCATGAAGGAAGGGCATAGTAGTGTGCTGTCAATATCATTCTGATTATCTGTCACGTGTGCACTACATTCATCCACAAGGAAATGAAGACAGATGGTGCCATGGCCTGAAATGGTATACCATATGATAGTTGTCTTTTTATTCTAACAAGTGTGCTGAATAATGTCATCTTGTTGATGAGAACTCAAGAACCATTTGCCTATTTATGTATGCAGATAACATGACATGGCATTTATGAAAATATCAGATGTTGCACAGAGTGTTTTGATTTTCATAATGTTTTCAAAATTGTGAGCACAAAAACACGTCTTTGTACTCATCAGATGCTTATAATTATTGGACTGCCTCCTTGTAATAACAGTAAGTTCTGAAGTTCACTCTGTGAGTGTCCATTTCATTCTGGGTGCATTCATTATATAACATTGATCTTTATGCTGGACTGCAAGATTTTATAAATCACTTTGCCCACATAACATGTGGGCAAAGTCCCTGAACTCTTTCACTAAGGAGAACACAACACCCTTAATGAAGTAAAATAAAGTAAAAAAGCAGAGGTATCCCAGTAACAAGCCATGGAGACCCATAAGGTTGTGAGATATTGAGGTTCCCACATTTTCTAGACAAATGACTCATAGATGGCAATAAGGTTGTCAGCCTTATGCACCGGCCTCCCAGTATTCCTGGTACTCATTTCTGTTAGAGGCTGAGTCGACCCTAGGGCCATAGTGTAGCTGGAATGATTAGGTCAATTGAAAAAAATCCACATCATCGAGGATCAATCCCGCGAACTTCTGGCTTGTAGCATAGTGCCTCAACCAACTATGCTACCGTGTACCCCGCCTTTAATGAAGTGTTTATTAAAATTCTGTTGAAATCAATTTCATACTTGTTGTATTTGAGGTTCTCAGAGTTATTATTATGAAGAGTGCTAGGTTCTCAGATGCAACACTGTGTAATCTTGTAAGACTTCAGCAATATTCCTTCAAAACATCAGTGAATTTCTAGTGGGCTACATGGCATTGCATTCCACAGTCTTCTACAATTTTCTCACTTGGCACCCTTTTCTATATGAACAGAAATAATTGTCAGTGATATGTGCTGTCTGTACCAATGAGATTCATTGCAATTAAATAATTAATAAAGGCACACAGTAATAGCTCCAAGTGCAGACTAACATGACACCTGTTTCCCATCAAAATCTACTGTATGCAGTGCTGTGAACTTTTTCATCCTTTATTCTTTGCCACATCATGCTTTTGTTACTGAATTTTTACCTCTTATTCTGAACTCACTCATCACTTCAAAATTGAACCATCAAATTAATTTAAAAACACACCCAAATCACAGAGGAAATACATACTCACAAAGCTTAAACAGAATTGTCTAGTCATAGTGTTCATAAATTTTATACTTGGAATCAGGGTTGTCCATATATGAGTGATACTTGTCTCTCATTTTTTCTTTTAGCATGGCGTGAATATTATGTTCATCACTTACCACTTGTGACAGAACAAGTCCCACATATTCATCAGTTACTACCCTCTTTAATTACGCTTAATGCAAAAGGCCTTTTGACACCAGTGCAACCAGTTCATGGTGCAATCTCAAATTGGGACACTTGTAAAATTAATCAGCAGCTAACAGATTGCATAGCAAGAAGTTTTGACGGATGTTCAAGTGCTCCAGAAAAGGAATCCAGTGTTGCTGCATTGCATATACAGGACAATGACAAAAAGAGGAGGAAGGAAACCAATTCAAGATTTGCCTTAAGTGAAAGGTTACAGTTCACTAAGGTAATTGTGGACTTTTTAAGTATTTATGTACAATGTGTTATATCAAAACATTTGCTAGCCTATTTTTTTATTGCTAGTGGGGTGGGACTAAGTCCCTTGTACTGCGGCCACTTCTGGCCTATTTTACCAGTTCCAGATGATAGGTGAGGGTGATTATGGAGCAATTGCTGGAATGAAGATTGACAAGGGAAACCGAAGTACTCGGAGAAAACCTGCCCCAGCGCCACTTTGTCCTCCACAAATCCCACTTGACCAGACCCGGGATCGAACTCGGGCCACTGCGATGGGAAGCCAGCGACTAACCGCTTGAGCTATGATGCGGCCTTTGCTAGGCTATGTACAGTTTTTATCATATTTTTATTGTCTAACATTATATGAGTATTCACATTTAAAATTTTACTTGTGGTCCATTATGTAGTATTACTTTTCTTTCCATAGAATTTTAGGACAAGAAATTTTACACATTACAGTAACTTAAGATGTGTCTGAATTATGCATTGTGGCATGATATTATTTTTATAATTTTCCACTTTCATTTTATTAATATAAATCTTGCTTATTCCAACAGGAATCTAATAAAGATAAGAAATTACAGGAGTCTGATGAACAGCCTTTTAAGTCACAAGTGGTTATGGGGGCTGAGAAGAAGAGAGGGAAGGAAGAAGAAATGCAGATTGCTAAAGGAGAGATGGAGAGATTAAAAGAGTGTCTGGAGGCTCTGCAATTAGATGTTAAGAAACTGACAACTAAACTTTCTCAGGTATATAGCATGCATCCCACTTCAGTTCCACTTCCCTGCATAAGCAGTCTGAAGGTGTTTATGTGGAATACTGGATGAACACTGTGGAAATACACATTGTAATGGCCTTCACTTAAAAGTACTCAGTCATACATACCTTACTTTTTCTTTGATATCTGTTATTACAGTTCTGTGTTTTACATACTAAATTCTAAGAAAATTGTCATACAGTACCATCCTATTTCATTATGTTGTTGTTATCGTGTGTGTATGACAAATGAAGATATTTTGGGAGCCCTTGATTTTATATAGATGACTGAGTTAAAACTGAGAAAACACTCCATTACCATTGTTCAGTGGCACCTAACAGGTTGCTATAGAGATAAATCTCTAGATGTATATTCTGTAGGTGGTTTGAAATTCAGCCAGGACACTGGCTGTCATCACTGAGGTTTTTCAAAGTTTCCCTAAGTCCGTTCAGCAAATGCTGGGATAGTACCTTGATTAGGGCACAGTCACTCCTTTCCAAATCATCGTTTGCTGCAGTATGGTCTTGACACCAAAATTATCATTAAATAGCCTATGAAAGTTAGTTGGTGACAGTTCATATATTCTGTTTAACCTCTTAAGTACTTACATCAGCCTATGCCAATATCCCCCCATCTGAAATCTTAAGATGTATCTTAGCCCATGTTAACTTACATTCAGCACTCCTGCATTTATCAGCTGTCAAAGTATAGTATATATATATATGTAAGTTTTCAGAACTCCATGTTAGGGTCATGATTATATTGCTGTGTGATGAAGTACAAAATTGTTGCAGGTACTGTTAAATGTGACAAAGCCAAACATTGGTCCCTTAAACTTCATTTGATGGGATCCTGCTGCTGTTTGACATATGAGCTGTCCGCCTTATCAGTATTGGGGTTTGTCCTCTCACATTGCATGTATGCTGTGTGATATAAACTTCTAGTTATCTGATATCCAAGCATCCAGAATTCTCATCCTGCTGGCAAAAATTTCAAAAAAAGTTTATTGTTTTTGTAAACTTATTCAAAAACGAATGTGATGCCTGTATATTCACCTGCCATGCTGTAGTTCTCCTTGCTGCCACTGTCAGTGTTACTTATCATCTTCTGCTCATACAGCTATCATTATAATAAAGGCTAGTTAAATTCATGATTGCACTGCATTATATGTATCCAAAATCTTTCACCAGTCAATTTGTATGTCACTGGGAATACTCCCATATAGGACCTGAAGTGAAAGCATGTGTTGTTTTCCCTTTGTATTGGCTTTTTGTAAGAGTTGTTCTCATGCATCTGGCAGATTAATGTTACCTGCAGGCCCAGTTCCCCATACATCTTGAAGAGCAAGGTAGTTACTGTATACTGTTATACAGTGAGTCTTTTGCAGTGCCCTCTCAGAGGAAGGGTCAGTTGCTCTTCCGTGGAGAATCAGGCTGAGTCATAATACATTAGTTCATTTCACAGGGCACCGTCTAGAAAACTTGTACATATCTTCAGGGTCAGGAACTACATTGCAATTAAAATTTTGTAATGGTATATGGTAATAAACTATTTTTCAAAGTCTAAATTCAGGTAATTCAATATTGATTTATTTTATGGTTGTCATATATTATATTTTGTGAATTCTGTATTTTGAAGATTTTTAATGATGCAAGAAATCAGTTAGATCATTTTTGAGTTGTATGATGGAAGTGTTGAATATGTAAAGAAAACCTTTCTAATTGCTAAATCAGAAAGAAAATTTATATGTTGTTTTTCTTTCGTTACTAGATTACAGAAGAAAAATCGCATGAGATAAGAGTGTTGAAAAATAAAGAGCAACAACAAATTGTGAAAAAACAAACATATGATTTGTTGCCAGAGGCAGATACTAACTTAAGTGCGCTGCAAACTTCAGTGGAAAGTAGTGCACAAACCTTAGTACTGCTTGCTGCACAGTGGGAAAAGCACAGAGCACCTCTCTTGGCACAATACAGAGATGCAAGGGAACGTAACTCCAATAAAGCAGTAAGTTTTGTGATTATCCTAACAGTACTGATGAAGACAATGTTTAGAAGTTGAAAATCATTGGTACTAGATTTTTTCCTCTGACTTATGACAGCTTACTGAGTTTAAGTACAAATTTGATTACTGATTATGCCTTAGAATACCTTGAGACAAACATTATCAGAAGCAGTATAGTAAAATCCCAGAAATAATAAATAATTTGTCTAGAACCAGAATCAGTATTCATAAATGGCTAAAATCAATAACATTAAAGTTAAATAAATTATGTATTTGTCAATGAAAATTAAAGTTAGTGAAACCAATGTAGAATAAAAGTGATCCAACAATTCAAGTTACAGTCTTCTCTTTGGAATATATCTATTGCATAAGTCCTAATACCTGGACTTTTGTTATCTGTTGACAGTACAATTTAGAGAATTTATCCCCAAATATAATATTCCAACCACATTTTCTTATACTGTTAACTTGCTCTCTATTTTCAGTAGTGCACTTAGTCAAGTATTTTTTAATATTATGTATTTAATTTTTGGTTTATGTGTGTTGTCATGTGCTGTGTAGTCAGAGAGCCAGAAGAAAGTTGATGCATTGCGTAACTTGCGAGAGAAAAGTAGAGAGTTGGGAGAAGAAGTACGTCATAAAGAGCAACTTCATTCTCAACTTGTAACTGAATATGAAAAGGTCACCAAGGATATCAACAGGTATTAATACATAATGAGCAGACTGTTTTTAAAGTAAATAACACTCATATTGTCAACTTAGAATCATTGAAACTGGATGTAAAATTAAGGAAGACCTTAACTCAAGAAATATTAAATAGGGGCTACACTATATTAAAATTATATTCATGTACCTAATTTAAACCCCTGTACTTTCAGATAAGAAATTTTAGAATTATAATTATATACCATACCCTTTTGATAAAATAATGATTAAAGAATATTTTTTACAAAATATACAATTAAAACCAAATGTATTGTTGCAGCATTGTATGGGGAACTTTAATAGTGTTTTCCTTGAAAATTGTGCACTGCTCAGAATATTATTGAATGGCGTTTTCATCTCAGTGTTAATCAATAAATTACAGGGTGAGGTTTGTAGATGCAAATATATGTGTTGTATCGACACATCAGATTCAGCTTTGCTTGTCTTTTCCATGGAACATGTGTGTTGGTTAGAATTTTATGAAGGGCAGGTTTAGTCACTATGCTCATCAGGGAATCTGTGTGGAGTCCATTGATGTGAATATTCATATTGTCGAGTCATATTGCTTTCGACTGTAGTTGCTTCAAACTGACATGCAAAATTAAATTCTAAAATATAGTATTCACATACTTTTCACACAACAGCTTTCAGTTACTACAGTTTTGGTAAAAGATTGCATAAATTACACCAGTAAATACTATAGTCTAAAATGAAAATTTTGGATGTTTAATGGCAGAAACAGTGGCTAGTGATGGAAATTTTTTATTTAGAAGCTCGGCAGCTGTACATTGCACTGAGAAAACAGCTGTGTGTTGGATGTATTCAAATTACAGTAAAACTTGGTTATAGCAACATCGGTTTCTGCGACACCTTGTCTATTGCGTCAAATATTCAGTGGTACGAACTAATTCCTCATAAAGCAACTGTTTTTATACCTTGCTTAGTACGACATGCACAAATGCATCAACCTCGTATGTAACATCATTTTCATTCCTGAATTTCTCTGATATCGTGGGTAAGTTCGATGTGTCTGCCCACCCTCACTTTCTCTACTTGCTGACGTGACTGTCCTGGAAGAATACGACCGCGGGCTGCAAGAGGAGCGTGGGTTTTATGCGAAAACAAGGGTGTGGGGTGGGACTGCGTGAATAGTGCAAGAGGACGCGGCAGGTTGTTAACTGCATTCCTTTCCTAGAATCTCGTCTAACAGGACCTCACATTGTCTCCTTACCCTATAGTGTTCCTGCCTAAACCCAGAGAAGGTCAGTATGACTATGAGGCATATGCAACAATAGACGACGACATTGTTACAACGGAGGCACAAACAGACGCCGATATTGTGTCGGAAGTGAAGAAGGATACAGAGGAGGAAGATGAGGAGGGAGAAGAAGAATGTTCCGAAGTCTCCATCCCTACTATGAGTGACGCGCTTGAAGCCATTAGGGTTGTGAACTTGTTTTATGAATCCAGGGGAGGCAGCAGTGAAATTGTGACAAAAATTATGGACATTGAACGTAATTTAGAAAGTGTGTATTGGGCAAGTAACAGGAAACAGATGAAGATAACTGATTACTGTACTCGTATCTAGGTACAGTAAGGCACAACAATTGATGTAATCTACTGTAATTTGGTGAGTAGGCCTACCTTTAATATACAGTATTAGTGCGGTGTGTATTGTCAGTGAAAAGCGCTGTAATATGTCTTTGATATTACACATTTGGGCAATTCCACGTTAATGTTACGTTAGTCTGTACTTAACTACGTATTTCACTAAAAAAAATGCAACATTTTAACTCAGTTTTTGGTAGATTTTTACGCGACTAACATAAGGCTACTGTGGAAGTGCCCATTACGGTTACAACGACATTCGTTTATAACGACACTATTTTAGGTCCCTTTGATGACGTTATAACCAAGTTCTACTGTATTTTCAATGGTTGCATCCTGCACCGATATGGATCTGTATCGGTATATCAATGACTATACTTATTCCTGCCTGATGATAGTCATGTATGACCAAAACATGTCACAGTAAATAAAGATGTAAATGTAATACTGTAATACTTGTTGTGTTGATGGTAGCATAGCTCCTACATATTATATATTATATGCAAATTAGTACATTGTGGTCAGCAGTGATATGTAGGATGGCCCAAAAGTCAGTCGGCTGGTTAATATGTACCTAAAATATGTTAGAAATTTTTTTATTACTTACTGAATATACAAAAATTCTTCAAAATGAGATTCTTCATGTGCAGTGCACAACTCACGGTGTCATGATGCCATTGTACAAATTGACTTGCAGGTTTAAGTCTGAACATTCCCACTAATATGATTTTTTTAGGTTAGCTGACTTTAGAATCACTCTGTGTGTATTCATAAGCATAAAAAAAAGGAAAAGTAAAGCTATCCCTGTAACAGGCCATGAAGGCCCATAGGGTTGTGAGACATTGAGGGTCCCACATTATCTAGACAGTTGGCTCAAAGATGGCGGTAAGGTTCTCATCCTTATGCGCCAGCTGTGCTTTACTCTCCAGGAAAATTAATTAATTCCTGGTACTCATTTCTGTTAGAGGCTGAGTCAACTCCAGGGCCATAAGCATGTCATAATAAATAATCAGTTTCTTTATTTCACGTCACCATCATCTATGAGCAGATTGTCTAGAAAATGTGGGGGCCTCTGTGGCCTGTTACTGGGATAGCTTTACCTTGTTTTCTTGCCATTATTTCAGTGTAATTTATTTTAATTTAAATCCAGGTGAAAAACCAGTGCATTCACTAACTGCCTCTAACACAATATTCTCTGGACTTTCTTTCCAGATTATTGCTTTGATAAATTTTGCGTTGGCTGTAATGATCTGATTGAATCTAGTTAAAAATACCTTTGTTTCCAGATCGGCCTATACACGTCGTATCATGGAGATAATTGGAAATATATCTAAACAGAAGGAAGAAATTGACAAAGTCCTGAAAGACACAAAGGATTTACAGAAGGAGATAAACAACTTAACTGGACAACTTGATAGATCTTTCACTGTTGCAGATGAGCTCATATTTCGGGTAAACTGTTCCTTGTCAAGTACTGCGAATATGTATTCATGATAATTTTTTTCCCTGATTTACATATCTAAAAAATTTTCTTATACACATTTAAAAGGTGGGTCTGTTCTGTTTTGGAGCACCTTATAAGCAGCATCAGCGGTGTATATGAATTTAAATACAGCACATATTGTAGAAATGATCTGTATTGTAACAGATCATACTTTATTTTGAGAGAGTTATATATATTACACAAATGATACAGTCAGTCTGTGTAACATACAGAAGAAATTAACTCTTTGCCTGAGCTCTGTATGTGAATGCATAGTGGAGTGTGCAAATGTTACACACATTCTAGACCATGAAACTGGACAGATATGATTTAGTATTGTCATGTATTAGGGTTGTGTGACCGTTAGATGTGGTGTGGATTTGATAATTGGATTTATTGACATCTTATACACACCACTCAGAATTATGGCCAATTACAGTGCTGTTGCTGATCTACGCACTTTACACTTCACCATTACACACACACACACTTCCTCAGACTGTTACACTCTCCACTAGTCCATCCCTAGTAGCGGATTTTAACACAGGAACTGTAACAATCTCACTGTAACTGCACACTCCGAATATCACAGTACTATAACACACACAACGTCTTCTCTTCACACCCAGACTTTCAATTCCACTGAACTGCTCTCAGTAATTCTGATGCCTCAATTCCTCAGTTCAGTTCCTCTGCTCCCAAGCTCATATCCTGGCAGGCTAGCATCTCGAAAGTCAACTGCCTCAAACAATCTTCTCTGCACTTTTTATAACACCTTGACATGGACCACACAGAAAACACAACTCCACTGTTGCATGTATTCACTTCCATGGAAACTTGTTTTCTCATTTGTTCCATAGCAATGGCTGTACGCGTCCCATCTCATTTTGTCACAATTCCTCTATTGTTGTGTGCAGGCATTACTTGGCAACAGCTATTTTTCTAGCTCCACAGTTCTTGCTCTGAGCAAGTATGTCACATTATATTATCATTGCTAATGTCAGCATCATAGTATGCTGGAAGGTGTTTTTCAATCATGCAGAATTCCTTATAAATCATCAGATTTGCTGTCCAGCATCTGTAAAGATGTTTAATGGCCAGAAACATAATATTTGGACTAATGNCACATATACACGGTGCCAAATCCCAGAAGACTGCTTTCTTAATGTACCATTGTCAGAAACTTTTAGATCTTATCTCTGAATACTTTGATTTATTGGTCATGACTTCTGTTCTGAATACAACTCATATACAAAATTATGTTAATGACTCACTGTGCTTATATTAAACTCTGAAACATTTTCAAGTAACTGCATTTGATGAGCATGCATTGAACATGACATTACCTTAGTGATTGGAGTTGGTATTGTAGTCTTCAAAACTTTTGACACAGAGGCTGTCACATTTCTGACTTCAATAAAAAGTGTCCTTCCACTTTCTATTATTACAACATACAGTACACCATATTTGTGACCTTGCTTTCTTCATGTTTGGGTCCAATCTCTGGAGATAGGGGCTAGCTCCATCTATTGGACCCAACTGAGTAGGTTTTACCTGAAGACGGGGACAGAATCCAGTCCCCGAAACGTGTTTTTTAAAAGAAATAGGACGGTTCTTTAAGAACAGACAAGATGATGGATAATGTCCAACAACATATTAATTGTAACAACTTAAAAATGTTCTCAATTTCACACTCTTTTTTGCTCTTTCTCAGGGACTAAAACAGACTGGAATTTCCTCTTCAAACCATGCAGTTTTTTATACAATCTCAAATGAAATCTTGTGTTTTGTCGCCTTCTTGATGAATCAATGAATAGCACAGTCATCGACTTCATTGTCACTTTGGAATTGAACTGTATTTAAACTTTCTTCAGAATCATTTGCTGCTGATTTCCCTTCTAATTGTTTGTCAGACGAAGCTGCTTATTATTTCTCCACACTCTTTTTTGCTCTTTCTCAGGGACTAAAACAGACTGGAATTTCCTCTTCAAACCATGCAGTTTTTTATACAATCTCAAATGAAATCTTGTGTTTTATCGCCTTCTTGATGAATCAATTAATAGCACAGTCATCGACTTCATTGTCACTTTGGAATTGAACTGTATTTAAACTTTCTTCAGAATCATTTGCTGCTGATTTCCCTTCTAATTGTTTGTCAGACAAAGCTGCTTATTATTTCTCCCTGTGATGTCATAACTTTGTCTTACCAATTGCATATCATTTCACAGTTTTAATGAGTTGTCAGATGCAAGTTATAGCAGTAGAGGCATGCATACAGTCTTGGGTTCAGGATCAGGTTTTGAAATTAGATGCCAAGATATCATTGGAACTGCAGCACTCTCTGGGTGTAGTAGTAGTAAAGTAGTAAAGACAAGCAGCGGCACGCACACAGAGAGACTACACAGAATAACACCGGTACAGTACTGGAAACAAGAAGTAGCCGCTGCAGCACTATAGACATAGGGCGAGAAACCCTGACATTTTTAAATTTTAAAGTTAGAGGAAAATTGAAAAGTTTTTAAAATTGGAACTGAGGTTTTTATAAGTGCTAGTTCAGAGAAATCAGGATTGAAGTGTGAATAACGGGGACATCAGCAAAGTAGATTTTAGTAATAATGATGAGGGGAATAATCAAGAAGACCTATGTTTTTAAATTTTAAATGTTAAACTGAGTGCAGTGTGACAGATACGTGAGTGATACACCTGATGATGGCCGTTTGTGGCCGAAACATGTAGTGTGTAAGGGAGAGCAAAACGAAAGACCTATAATATATGGTTGCACTGAAGACGGAGTTTGTATCATGTATAGGAGTGCATAGTTTCCTTTTTTGTATCTTTAAAAAGTTTGACTACAGGGGATGGGATGAAAGGTTTAGAAATATAAATAAATCAGTTTGCTTTTGCAGCAACAAATGTTCCAGTGTTCCATAGTTTCAGGATGATGTCATGTATTAATATATCAGATAATACTGAAGAGTTATCCACCACAGATTTATAGATATGATTAAACCAGCAACTAAGCAATCAAGTGGAGTAACAATTTTATGGTTTCAGGATGCAAAGCGTGATGAAACAGCTAGAAGAGCATACAAACTTCTTGCAACACTGCATTCAGATTGCAGTGAATTGGTGCAAATGGTAGAAGAGACGGGGGCAACAGTCAGAGAAATTCGGGATCTAGAAGAACAGGTAATGTTGACTATATTAAGATTCATGTGTGATGTGGAGTGAGTGAGTGATTTGTTGTGTTGAGACAAGCAGGTCATGAATGTTGTACAGTTGTGAGATCTTCATCCTGAACTCTCCTGTGTTAAGTTTGACACCATGTGTATCATGACTGCATTTCCATGACTTGAGTTACCATTCTCTGCTTCTTGCAACAGTGCTTAAACACTTTAAAAACTTGAGTGTGGTGTTCTGGTGTGTAACACTATGTAGCTGAGGAAGAGTTTGATGTTCTGGAGGAACATACTGCCTCCATCTACAGCATCAAAGAGTAAGCCAAGCAAGGAACTGCCTACCTTAGCTGATTTTTGCTTGGCTTGCTCTTCAGCCTTGAATGTCTATGCATTATAAAGCTGGTAAATAAAAGGTAAAACTGTCCCTGTAACAGGACGTGATGGCCTATAGGGGTGTGAGAGGTCAAGGCTCCCACATCTTCTAGACAGTCAAAACACAGATGGCAGTAAGTTTGCCAGCCTTATACACCTGCCCCCCTTTACCCCCCCCCCCCCCCATGAATCTTCCTGGTATTAATTTCTCTTAGAGTCTGAGTCGATCTCAGGGCCATAGTGCGGCTGGAAGGATTAGGTGAATTCAAGAAATTGAATGACCTCATTGATACTGAAACTCAAAGTTGCGGCATTTAGAGTGGCTTGTTTTGTTGCCCCTGTTCATGTTGATCAGTAGTCCTTCATGTGGGTATCAGAGTTGCCTTTCTGTAAGTGGTATTTTTCAGTTTATGTTGGGAACCTGTACTCTTCCATTTTATGAACGTGTTAGAGGCAATTATTAGGCTTTTTTTACAAACAGAAAGGTGCGCACTATATGGAGGTTATTTCTCTGTCTATGTCAAGGTCTGAGCCAGTGGGCAGATTCTCTTAAAATTCCTTGTGGGAGGCTTACTAAAAGTTGTTATATAATTCAGAATTTTAGCCATATTGGTCCATAATGAAGTCTAATATCCATGAGGCTATAAATTGACTTTTCATATGTGCCATAAAATCTTCCCTAGATCTTATTGAAATTTGATCTGGGAAAATTCAAATAAATTGAATTTTTTATTTCCATTTGTAAGTAAATTCAGTAAACTTAAATGAATGCTTCTGGTAATTATGTGTACTATATTATGGACTAAATCCTTTTTTCTCCTGTTTCTGTTGCTCGTTATATCAATCTTGATATGATATTGAAAAAATCAATTTCAGATTGAGACTGAAAGGGCTAAGAATGTGGGTGCTAACCTGGACCGGATCTCTGCGGATCTGCGACAGATGAAACAGGAAACTGCTGCCCTTACAGCCCAGCTAAATGCCAAGTCATGATACATACACTTGTAAGATTGTTAACTTGCAGATCTGAATGCATTGGACCAAACTCTTAGTCAACGAATATTAAAAGGTGAAATAATAAAGTTTTTAGCAATCATTGATGAAATGTGCTATTGTAATTACTATAAATAAATAATGTACCAGGTAATATTGCTTGTCCACTTTTAATAAGGTAAAGGAAGGGTGTTATGAAAATGAATTGCAAATGGAGATTATTTTGTAGATATGTAATACTGAATTAAATAGGGTTGCCAAATGATATATAAAAATTTAGATACATTTTTAAGAGGGGTTTCTGATATAAAATTTTTGCAAGTTATTCTCATATAACCAATAAAAATCCAGCAATGAACCTATTATTTATGTACTTTATGAGAGTTTTTATTTATTACTGTAAAATATCTATACATCCACTCCCCCATACATCTTCATGGAGTAGTGCTTAATTAGTTAAGCACAGGAACAACTTTACCTTTACCTTTTACTGTAAAATATCACATGCAAATATGTCAGGAGCGAACCAGGTTATGTCCAATATGGATGCTGGATACCTTTCCCAAAACTCATTTATCCTATATAATTTACAAAAATTTGCTGTAGACGTGCTGTATAAGCCATCTTGATATATAAATATTTAGCACCATGTATGAGCCATTCTGAACAGTAATGACTCACATGGAAAACCACTTCTGAGAAAACAGCTTAAAATGTTTGTGAAAATATAAATCATATCTGCCACAAGATCAGTCCTGTGATTTAGGAATACAGTATGTTTGCATTTTATGCAAATTTGGCATATTGTGATGTAAAAAATATTAATAAAGTATCACATTATGTCTAAAGTTTGAAATAATGCATACCCCAAAAATTCAGGAAGAATCGTGTGTTTCAAAACTTGTCTTGAATTATGCGAGGTCTTCAGAAACACATCCCTTGCATAAAATGTGAATGCACTGAATATGCCCATGAATGTAAATAGACTTCACTGCCTATTACTTTCTTGCATTCTCTAGTTCAATTATGCTTGTTCAGCTTCCATAGGTCATGTTTCTTATCCTCATTTCATTCACCAGCAGTTTGAAGAATATTAGAGATGAACTCTACTCTTCGGACTTCATGTAAGTTCTTAACTGTTGCTGTCACACCAAGAGTCTTTTGTAATTCATTTTATGAACTGCAGTTACTGGTGGGGAATGCAATCACTGTCTGTAGGGAACCTTGTTTTGATATTACTTGGCATCCCTAATTTGAGTTTTTTCATATTATAGTTTGTAAATAGTAATGTTTATGGAGATCATGTCATACAGACTGGTAGAGCATTCTGAATGTTTCAGAGGAAACAGTTGTGTGTCTCTTTAGGATAGGCTCTTCTGTCCTCATCTGCCCTGAAGATGGAAATATCAGGTTTCTCAAAAACACAGGTAACAATCAACAAGGCCTCTTGGAGTAACATCCCTGAAGACAGTGGCCTACATAGTCTCAGCCATGAATACCTCAAATCTCATAATCATGTATGGGATGAAGTTTGAAGGTTTAATTGGATTTAAAAGGCAAATTTTTGCTGTTATACATGGTAGGATGAAGTCATTTATTTTATTTTCAGATGGATATACATGTTTTCTAGATAAAAATATAACCATGGTATATAAAAATAAAAAAAGTGGAATTTTTATATGCAATAATTGAGTATGCTTACAGTTAAAGCACATGTTGAATTTATTTTGTTATAACAACATTCATATGGTCTTCATAAGTTCAGAACTCACTTGGATTAATAAGGCAAGGGAACAATGTTTCTAATTGTGTGATTTACAGAATATGAACTTTTTTCTTCAGACGGTCCATTTATGGATGGCAGAAGTAATAATAATTACTATAATTTTACACTTGTGATAGGTATTGAAACATTTTGATGCTTACACCCGAATTTTGATGCTGAAGGAACAGCAATATGTGTGCTTGAAAATTATGTTACCTCATGTTAGGTGATAACTGTTTTCTTTTCTGGGTGTAATGCTTCATGTGAAAAATTTGAAGGTTTATAATTTTTCTTCATAAACTAGGAATTTTATTAGTCCCTGATTCATGTTTTATGTAAAATGCCACATTTCAATATTCTGATAATTTAGAAGCTACTTTCAAGCTGAAGCACAGATTTTCAGCCACAAGTGATAGGTTGAACGCATATAAATCCCAGTTACTCTATAACCTGGTCTCAGATCAAGTCCCCTGCTTGTTTAAAATGATTGTCTTTGTACTCGGTATATATATATAACTTTTAAATTGGGATATGTAGTCTAGTAAAGTGTGAATTCAGTTTAGTAAAAGGCTAAAGATGAAATTCAGTCCAGCACATATGAAAGACTATTCACAAGAAAACTATTCTGGCTGATCAAATGGTAATAAAATAAAATATTGGATGTTCTTACTAAACTTTACTGACAACATTTTATTTCACTATTTACTTTGCATTTTCAACCATTAGTTTACATGAACCCCCAATAAAACATATTTGCTAATTCTGGTGAAATTTGATATTTCAACTTGTTAATTAACTCTAAACACTGAATTGCAATTATGGAACATACCAGTAAAAAAAGACCCATAGGATGAAAATTGGTTTTTTAATAACATGTTGGATATACACAGCAGGAAAAATAGAGTTAATTTGTGAAGTAGAGATACTGGTAGTTCTTGAAATGCACAGTAGCTGTAATAAGAAATGCACATGATTTGTATTTTGGGATAGGAAAGCACTTATTAAAACCGAATGGGTAAAATTAATAAAAAGATCCATATGTCATGCAGTGTTTGAAGCGCCATTTAATACAGAGTTCAAGTTTGAGCTTCAAAATTTGGGAATTTGTAAATGTATGGTGTTAAATGATGCTATGTGTATGAAGCAGTGACAGGAGGAAACAGAAGCATACCTGAAGATGTGCTTTGTCTGAGTGAAGAATTTTGTTATTCATCTGCTGAGACTGGCATTTTACAGCACAAATATGCTTACATGAGAATGTTTTACATTTATCCATCACTTTATGATGTGAATTATTTACTGAGCATAGAAGTAAAATTGTACTATGTATACAGAAAATCTGAGAGTAGCACTATAAAAATTTTAAGAAATCAAATATGTACAGTACATATGGAAATTAAGGTGAATGATTATGTATCAGCACCATGATACAGTGTAATCTGTAAATAGTGAAATAAGTTGTCCCATCTTTATTGACATTTTGTAACTTTGGAAACTCATTCAACAGTTACACACCACTATGAAAATCATTACAGAACTAATAAAGGACAATCTTTTGTGATTAGCATTCATACAAGTAAGAGCTAAATTGTAAATAGTAGTTATGATTGAGAAAGTATATCTGGACTTGTACTTTATCATGATAATTGATTAAAAGAGTTCTTTGTAATTTTTTATTGGCCCTGATGTTAATTTATTTCAGATACAAATTTACTGCTGTGACGGTAACCACAACAAATAAAAATGTGAAAATATTTCTCCATGCATTCCATTAAAAATAAACTGTATCAAAAAATGTTTTGAATGAAAGTTGTAGATCTTAATTAGGCCAATGGTTTATGTTATATAGAAACTCATTTTATGATTGCATTTTTAAAAGAAACTGAGATAGCTAAATTTCAGTTGCATGTAAGAAAGAAGCTGCAGTCGATTAATACTGGCTTATATGGAAGTCACATGCGTCCTTTTAGTGTTGCTCTGCAATTATAAATTTCATTACAACCAGTACAGTATTTTTTGGAGGTAAAATATTTACCTGTATGACTGTAGAGCCTTCTCATTTCACGTTTTGTTGTGCATTTTGTGTAAAGAAAACGTACAAGAGAGAACTAGGCAATCGAGCTTGTGTGGATCATAATTGTGTAGTCTTGGTATAGTATGATTTCCACTTTGCTTTGGCCAGTCTCATGAGACCATTTCCTTAGACACTTTCCGTGACATATATGGAGCTTTTAACACTCTCTGATTACTTTCACCATCATTTGACTTGCAAGATCTTGCAGTCTCAAATTCTTCTGTTTGCCTGAGACTTACCACAGAACCCTTAAATTGTTAAACATCTTGGCGTTTCATTTTCATGTTCTCAGTTTTGCTGTAGCCCTTACGTTGCCCAGATGTTCACTGCAGTCCCACGAGTTTGAGAAGGGAATGCCATGTAGCTGGGAGCCATTTAACTGCTTAACCAAGGATAACTGTAGCAATAAAGCACTAGATTTGTATTTGCCTCATGCTTGCTTGAATCTTCGCCAGACACCAGCTATCATGAACGATGATTTTCGTGGTTTGACAGTCCCTTTAGGTATATATCAGGGAAATATATTGATTAGACCACAGCTGCTTCCTTTCAAGCCACTTCCTTTTCATCATTTATGAATAATCCTGACATCATTGCAAGATGATCCACAAGAACTGCATTTCGCTGCAGAGCCATGATAACTCAGTTTGAGAACCATATTGCTGAACAATAAATGTTATTCAGAAGGTCAACCTTATAGTCAGACACTGCAGTTCACGATAGTATGTGGTTTCAGAAAGATTGACAGAGAGGGGAAGGCAGCAAAATGAAATCATTCAATCATGGAATTTACACTGAATAATTCAGTACATCCTTTATTATCAAAGTATCCGTGGCTGCGCCATAGCTCAAGCAGTTAGTCGCTGGCTTCCCACTGCAGCAGCCAGGGTTTGATCCCGGGTCTGGTCAAGTGGGATTTGTGGTGGACAAAGTGGCGCTGAAGCAGGTTTTCTCCGAGTACTTCGGTTTCCCCTGCCAATCTTCATTCTACCAATTGCTCCACAATCACCCTTACCTATCATCTGGGGCTGGTACAATAGGCCAGAAGTGGCCGCAGGACAAGGGACTTAATCCCATCCCACTAGCAATAAAAAAATAAAGTATCTGTCAATAATGCAAAAATTTGAAATTTAGATTCTTGCGGTTATTCTACAATGCGAAAAATTACCGTAACAAAAGCTTCTTTTATTGTCATTTTACCACGTAACATGTGAGAAGCCAATATGAAATGGCTTTAGCTTTTCACGCAGTTCAGAAGAGCCACTTATCGATAGTTGCAAGTTACTGAAGCTTGATATTCATGCCGAAGTTCGTGATAATCCGTCAGTTCAGTAATTATTAGTGGAGAATAGGATGAGCTGTGTAAGGTATGCAGAAGATAAGAAATGTGTACACAGTTCCGAATGAATTACGTAACAGAATAAGACCACTTACGACACCTAAGCGAAGATTAGGTTACTGTTAAAATCAATTTCGGCGAAGCAGATTGTGATGATGTTAACTTTTCAGTTCACTGTCTAATCAGGATTAAAATTTACATACATGCAAGAAGACACAATGTTAAATAATTGTACGGGTATTTTTTTTATTGCTAGTGGGGTGGGACTAAGTCCCTTATAGTGCGGCCACTTCTGGCCTATTGTACCAGCCCCAGATGATAGGTGAGGATGATTGTGGAGCAATTGATGGATTGAAGATTGGCAGGGGAAACCGAAGTACTCGGAGAAAACCTGCACCAGCGCCACTTTGTCCACCACAAATCCCACTTGACCAGACCGAATAAGAAACGAGAAATGCATATAGAATTTTAGTCGAAGTACGGGGAAGAAGTTTCAAATTCCGCGACTTTATAGTAGTTTGGAGGATGATCTTACAGCCTTCATTTAAGAATATATTTTGGGGGTATGGTTTTCATACATTGGCTCAAGGAAGAGTCCAGTAGCGGGTTCTTGTCAACAGGCAATAAATTTCTCAAAATTCTGAGCGACTATTAGCTTTTCAAGAAGGATTCTACTCTGTCAGCTGCTCTGGGTTAAGTAATCAGCGCGATTGAACACTTCTGCGAGCAAGGGAGTGAAACGTCGAGCGCCGTAAAGACGGGGGACTTTTCTCTCAAATTCTTTTATACTTAAGAAGATCATTGCACCAAGAAGCGATATGGGGCTCCATATGAGATGACTTATCGTAATGGATGAAGGATGAAGACGTATCGGTGCATTTGAAATTATTTTCTCAGGTTTATAATCGAAGAGCTTGGAAAAATTACAGTGGAGTTGCATACGTGCTAAATATACTGATACAAGTATCAAACTTTCCTGTTTCGACGACAGTTGTGGTATACTCATATCGATAAACTAATGCAGTACTCCTCCCCCTCCCCCCTCAGTTTTCACATATGCTATGATTCAAATATAACATACATGGGTGGAGATGAAACAGGCATTTGACATACATATTCACTTCCCATGTTTTATTAAATTTCTGTAGTAACATCGAATTCCGTGTCGCTGTATTGCTACGCACAGGTCAAGAAAATGACTCTCACATATGGTGTCCCATATTTTTGTGCTGTAACTTTATGTGACTTTGGAATGGTCTTTTCCTTATATGATTCATTCGCTGAGAGTAAGAATTTTCTCAGCTAACTTGTATACTTTTGTTTTACACAAGAAATTACTTAACTTCGGAATATTTGGAGGAAGGATGCCATACATCACGCCCATAAATATTTCACGGGAATTTTGAAGGTAATAACCTTCGAAGTTATGAAACTGAATTTCATTACGGGGTAGAGAACAATACAATTTACTCGATTGCTTCAGGTATCAAACTTTGTCTCAGGTTACGAATGAGAAAAGTAGCTTTCTTCATATTCCGATACATCAAGCGAAATAATTACAACAGAACAGGTCTACTAGAATTCTGCTTCAGAACTACTAATAAAGCAGGATACAAAATTAGTTGTACGATTGTGAAAATTGCATTTAGAAATACTATTAAAAACATTTTTCGTTCCGAAAAAATGTAGGCACTGCTATGGTACATGTACTCAGTCGAAGTCAGCCGAGCAATTCCTCGTTTTTGTTCGTTTTGAATAAATCGTAATCGACCTTGTGTAGTTTGATGCCAGTGTTTTCTGTTAGGGTTGTTCAGGGGTTACACTGGGTTGCTCGACTGGGGCACAAGACAGGTATCTCAGGAAAATAGATTACCGTGTTGATGCAGTATGAAATGATATGACGATATTGTTATTATTAATTACTTGACCCCTGAAAAGAGACAGTTGTTTCAGCACCTGAATATCTAATTCGGAAATTGAGTTCTCAAAGCTTTTCGAACAGATTCTATACAAAAATCCTTAACAGACGGATTAGTATGTTCGCATTACATGATATTCCGACCCAGGAATAGTAACTGTAGATACGTACGTATATACCTTTGAAAAGCTGTAACATAGTGCATCATACATTACAGAAAACCACATGCAACGAAAAATGACCTGACGCTACTGCAATAGAAAGAAAAACCGAATTACATTGAGCAGTAGTATCCTTGNCTTTTTCTTCTACCCTGAAGATGGGGGCGATACGTTCCTCCGAAACGTCGGTTAACACCACATATACACAGTGCCAAATCCCAGAAGACTGCTTTCTTCAGTAGTATCCTTGTCCACAACACCTATACACCTCAAAATGGCCAATTAGGCCGAAACATGTAGTGAGTGAAATAGTTTCCAATAAAGGAACTATCAATGTTTTGGCACCTAGACGGCGAAAAACTCCGAAATCAGATCTATACAGTGCAAGAGAATGCTGAATTTAACATGAGATTCCCTTTGTAACTCTCCATCCAGTTAATTAACAGTACGTTCACCCCGCGTGGCTATTATGACTGTAATCGTTCTTTTAGGGCTTGCCGGATTTCACGAAAGAGTCATGTTTCATTTGATTGTACTGAAGAAGTAACTGGTTCTACGCAACAGTGCACTGGCTGTCTTGCTACCATTTCAGATTGGAATAAGAATTCACCTGTGTGCTGCTGGTCTCAAGTCACGTATCTATTAAGCTAATTATGATAAGACAGGATTTTAGTCGCGGTCTTGAAGAAGGCATTCCTGATTAGTCAGGCACAAAATGTTCTCAAAATTTCGCGCCTTGTTTTACATATAATATAAAATTCCCAGTAATAATTAAGTATTTAAATTATGTTTTGGTATTACGTAAATTTAACGACATACACAGTAGAACAGTTTATAGCATTACTGCAGTGCGGCAAGGCTCTTACAAGTTAACAATAAGCTTACTGTGAAATAATTCCCACGACTGAATTATCTGCTGAAAATCCCGAGAAAATCCTTTGAAGTTCAAGAGGATGATAAATATCCGAAATGAGCTCTGTTATGAGCAGTAGGTGATATGTTTAAAACATTAGAACTCTTTAAGTCAAGGGATATAGTATAAGGACTTTTACCTTTAACGTAAGAATGTGGGCATATAGGTGGGTATTACTTTAAAGTGGTTACGTATTAAGTCTGGGGTATCTGTTCCACATTACGCAAGTTTTCTCTATGCTATCTAATCTCAGGTATCTGCACAGTTGCTTTCATA